GGGAGCAGGAGCTGCTCGGGCTTGTGTTCCCCCAGAGCTCCTGGGAGATGCTTGTGGCAGAGGGAAGCTGCTGATGCACAGATAGTCAAACAGGCAAAAGTTTAGAGCCCAGCAGGGTAAACCACTCCGAGGTCCAGATTCCTGAGCACAAAGAATCTGCTTAACAACCAGCCAGGAGCCAGTGAGGTATGGGCAACAGCCAGGTGAATGTGAAGATCACCCCTGGGGAGGGTCCCAGAGGCCGGAAGGTGACTGTCCGAAATGGCTTAGCTGTCGCAGTGGCCATTTGCTCCTTTTTGCCTGTTTGTTTGTTTACAGCCTAGAGCTCAGATCTTGCATCTTTGCTCTTTCAGTTGGCAATATTTAATTTATGCTGCCATTTATTTTCCATGTGAATGCTAATTGTCCACATTGCTAGTGTGCAGTCATTAAATGGTCCCTTTGTACAGGGGGATGGTGGGGAGCCAGGGCATCAGATCCTTCCTCTCCCCTAAGAACTGCTAGGCATGTGTTATGAATTAGATTTGACAGTTCTGCAGTGTCGCAGGGCTGGAGCTTCAAGAATCCTCTCTGCATGGGCTTGGGGGGCGGGGGGAGGGAGGGAAGGAAGGCAGGGGGGATGTTAATCCAAACGGCTAATCCGCAGCCTACCGAACAGAGGACCAGAGATAGGGTTTACAGCAGCGCCTGCTTATTTGCCTAGCGGTGTGTCAAAGAGATGGGAGCTGCCTGAGTTAGAAAAGGCAAGGGAAACTCCAGCCAGCCGCTGGGAGTCTGCCCTGCTGTGGGAGGTGAGCGCTGGGTCAGCAAAGTTCAGGCAGGAGGCTGCAGCTTGAACTTCCTTCCTCTGTAGCCTCCGCGTCCTCGCAGTACCTGTGGTGGCAGCAGCGGGGCTGGAGCAGGAGGGAGCTTTCTGCAGCTGGGCTTCTGTAGGATCTGGCTAGTGATGATGACCTGGCTGGTGCCAGCTTGAGACTTGGTGGTCTCTTGCCTTTTCTACACACCGAGTCCCCTTTATCTTTACTGTCCTCCTCAAGCACAGACCAATTTGGGTAGTTCAGTCAATTATCCAGGGATTGGAGAAGAGATGTGGATAGGAGGAACCTACCTGAAACTGGAGAACCACTGAATCAATGTGTATCAAAGAACGGGTGCTGGCCCGAGCCCCAGGTCTTGCCTCCTTGGCAGATCTCACTATCTTTGACTGTTGTAGAAGGTTTATTTGCATCTTTTTCTCCTTTTGTCCTTTGTCCTCACCTCTGGATTACCTTTGGCAACATGGAAGATAGTTCAACAGTTTTCTCTGGCTGTTGCCTTTCCTAAAACATCTTAGTCTGTGCTTTGTTTGAGCTTTAGTTGCTTTGTTTGTATGCCTTATGTAGATAAATAGCCCTTCCTCAGTGTCTAGTCTTGCCTCTGCCCACACACACATTTGGTTTTGACCTACTCTCTGATTTTTTCATCTGAGTATGGAACTGTGAAAAGGAAATTATAGAAAACCATTTAAAAAATCAACTTCCCCCTTCCTTAACTTCAGTGATAAAAAGAAACAATCCCACACCATTCTCAGCCTTTTATTTTTTGCTGGCTTTTCCTCCACATGTTGGCACCAAAAGCGTGAGATTTGTGAGCCCAGGGTGCATCCAAGCCTGCCACAAAACACCTGCTGTTTTATTCCATCTCACTCCGTGGGTACAGGCCAGCTCCGGGGGCAGCTGGTGCTCACAGATTTTGAGACACTTCTGATATAGGAATTGCATTTGACTTCTATTGAAATGTGTGTGTGAATGAGTACACTAGTATAAATGCTCTTCCTTAATTCCTGGGAGAATAGGATAGTGTGTCTACATGGAGGAAAACTTCCTCTCCTTTGAAGGAGGAGAGTTCTCAGTGTCCTTTTGCTGTGTGAAACGTTGGTTACAGGCAGCTGTGCAGTAAACAGCAACGGAACAGATCTTATGCCCACAAGCACATTGGCCAAGGAGAGTCCTAAATAAAGCACATTTGGGGGGCTGTCCGTGACCTAGCTGCCATGTGCAGGTTGGTCCATCCTACAATATGTGTAGTTTATGAGAATGCAGTCCTGTGCCCTCCTGTCACCCTGTTAGCTCGCACGTCTGACCTGCAAAACCACCTGCATACGTTATTTTGTGGCATCAGCCAGTTGTGCCCAGTTCCATTGCAGATTTTATGATGTGGATAAATCTCTACTGGAGAGACCAGCCAAAGTTGTTTGTGTACTCTAAGCATAATTGGATACCCAGTCTCCAGAGATAAAAAATTAATGTGCTAACCTCAGTGTGCCTCCAAGCTGTCCTCCAGCTCCCCCACACAGTCATCTTTGAAACATTTTTATTTCCATCCAGGCAGGGGGCTGGCCATGAATAAATGACGAGAGTCAGCCCCTCAGTTGGAGACGAGCTGTTTGTTCCTCTCTGCAAGCAGCATCAATTTGAAAAGCTACATCAGGCCTACTTGTTCCCTGCCTCAGTGCTGATCCTCGCTGCGGCCATGATGGGAGCTACTTCTGAATGCAAGGATGCATCAGTGCTCACCTTGCGACAAGATACCCTGCAGCAGGTGCCTTTTCAGTGAAAATATGTACATTACCTTGAGCTGACTTCTCATTAGTTTAATCTCTTTGGATTTTTTCTTTTCCAGAGCTTGTTTTCATAAGGACAAAGAGTCAGAATACTAAAAGAAGCAGTAGCGTTTGCAGAGTTTGGAGCTGCGTAACGATTCCCACTCAAATCCAGTTTGCAGCTCTGTGTTTCTCAGACTTTTATGCCTGTGTTTTGGGATGCTGAGATAAAAAATAGATCAGTTGCTTAGAGTTTTGGGATAGTGGAACATTCCAAACTTGTCTCCAAGGTACAAGGACACATAGGGGACTTCTTTGTGTTTTGTTTGGAGTTGTGGGGTTTTTTTTGGTAGTCTGGGAGGGTTTTTTTGATATACTGCCTGGCCAGGACCTGAAAAGTTGTTGTCAATATGCAACTCTCAGTAGTTTATGGGAAAATGCTTCCAGATTGGCTAATTAGTTTTTGAAAACCATGTGTTGCTCCTATAACGTATCAGATCTTGAGACAGAATAGTACCATTTATGTATTTATAATTTATTTTCCTTTTTTGCTATCTCCTTTTTCTCCCCCACCTAGAATTGAAATCAAGTAAAACCCAGACATTTTGAACTGAATTTAAACATAACTGCTCTTCCTTCTCACACTCCTCCAGTGAGTAATTTCCAGTTCCAAAGAGTACAACATGTTGCAGGGACCCATTTCACAGCACCGGCCATTCATACCTGAATTATTGAGGAATGCTGCCAGATGGGGCTGTATATTGAGCACTATAATCCCTCCTTGATTTCCCTGAGCTGATGGGAATGATGCATTTCAGTGCCC